GGAGAACTTGCACAATTGGTGGCTGACTAAATACTTTTTTGCCCCACTGTATGTCCTGCATGCTTTTCTTTCTCAGGTGGATATAGCTAAGTTCTTAAGGGTTTCAATTAACAGCTTCGAGCTAGCTTTCTCAGATTGGATAGTTGTCTTATTCTTCTCTCTGATTCCTCTTAATATTTTTAAAACAAAGTTGTTAAAAGAAAAAGAGAAATTAACAGAAAGGACAAGGAATATAGGAAAAAAAGAGAAAAAGGGCTATAAATATTTTTGAGTTAAGCAGAAATGAAATTGGAAGCAAATTACTCCCCTATGTGGAAGGACACCTAAAATCTAATTTGCAAATGCCTATCTTTTGGAAGGAAGCGACCCATCCAAGAATATGCTTGTCCACTGCAGTAAACCTGCCACATTTGAAGGGAATCATACATGAACAACAGTTGTTTTCTATACAAGCCATGAACTTGCTGTGGAAACAACACCCAGAATAGCTCTGCCATTCCAGTTATCAATAATTTTACCTTAAATATCCTAAATTCTTCTTTGGTTGCATGTCTAGCACATAACATTCCGCCCATGATACAGTAAGAATTAAGATACAATGGTTCTGATAATCCATTTCATATCTTGTATAAATACCTTGTTAGCTAAATTGTCTTCTAGATATGCAATTTTTTCAGTTTTTTCATCTATACTTTCCTGAAGACTATCTTTTTCTTTATCCAAGGCATTAACAGTACTTCTGAGCACACTGACAGTCTCATCTTGTGATGAGCTCTTATTATTGAGCATCTCTGAAAACAGCAAAAAAACAACAAAAACTTTAGTTAGCTCACTTGCCTTGAACATGTAAAACTCTAAACCCTGTGAACACAACAGTATTGGTGAGTTCTTCTGTTCTGGATTATGAAATTAGTGTTGGCAAATTCTCTTATTGCTAGACTACTCCTAACAAATTATTGGGGGAAGAATAGTCATCCCAATTTAATATAAAAGTACCAATAGAAGAGAATATATGTAGCTCAGGGTTGCATTGTGGAGTCCTTGAGGTTCTCTGAGCTTGGTTGTTTTCTTGCAGACATTTTTCACCTTTATTATCTAATTTTATAACTTTCTATTTTAATCTACATTTTTTTAAACCATTTCTATACATTTGTATGCCAGAGAGGCTGCCCACCAGCTCCAGCCATTATCTATTAATATTATAATCCAGGATTTAAGAATGGTGAAAAGGAAAAAGAAACAGCGTGTCCACTCTGCTACACAGACTTCATCTAAGCCACTGAAGCAGCAGAAAATGGACGACTATGCAGTAAACAAGCAAACTGCTCCAGTATTTCGGCAATGGATTCTTTCTCAGACAGATCTAACTCTCGTAACTCACTGGAATGGGACCTACAATCAGAATTAGAAAGTCAACAGCTCATAGAGCTTTCTTCCTCCATTGCAGAGAATGTCACCTCTCCCTGGTCTACACTGGTATGCTCGGCAGCCGCTCTGCTTATGCAGGATGGGGATGCCACAAATTTAAAAAGGGAGAATGTAACAGATTTTATATCCAGACAATGTCTGCTTACAGCTCAGATGGTTATCTCAATCTTTGATCTTTTAACAACAGTCATAGAAAAGGTTGACTCCCTGAAGGAGTCCTTTGCAAAGTTTATTGAGAGTCACCCAAACAAAACAGAAGAAATTAGGAAGGAATCAGCCATTCACACTGATGGACACTGGGTGGCTAGTACAAAGAGCAGACCTGGCCCCATTCCCAAAAATGTAAGGAGAGGAAAGAATATCTGCAAAGGAATTAACCCTCAAACACAAAATGGGCAGAGAGGAGACAAATGTAATTATCACTTACAGAATAATCAGATCACATTGCATATTTATGACAACAGGTTGAATAGAGGGCGATGGGACAATAGAAGAGCTGTTATGCTGTCCTTGAGTCAGCTGCTCCATTGTAAACATTCTCTGATAGATTTAAAACATTCTGAATGGCATGTAGGGACTATATCCGAATTTTATTAACATTCAAGCAACCTACAGTCTCTAGTATGCTTTTCGGAATGGAGCCCTGAGTACTTTCTCAATATTTCCAATACGCATCTTTTGCTCAGAGAAAATGAGCCCACTTCTGGATCAGTCTCTTCAAGAAGATACTATTGTTTTTAAACTTGATTCTAACAGCTCTCATACAGATAAACATGAAATGGTTGCATCAGCAATAACCCTGAGAAAGCAGAGTAATAATCTACAAAATGTGTTAACTACAGTTAGGGAGTCTGTGGAGGAAGTGCCAGAAGAAATGTTGATTGATTTATTTGGTGTGCTACCAGAACCAGAGCAAGCAGTTATTATACAGAGACTGGACAAATTAAGAGAGGCACTAACAACACAATCCACAGCAAAGCCATTAATTAACCTGGCCCTACCAAGTACTCAGGCCTGTGTTAATATTCCCACTGAACAGAGTGTTAAGAATTCTACAGTAAAGAAAAGTTCAGTTACACAGGCTGACAGTCGGGAAATTGTAGTGCTTAACCCAGTCCCCGATAATCTGCAGACTGTTAAAAGGTCTCAGTGTATAAAGATCTCCAAGTATGCAGACCCCAAGGATACAGCTTACCTCCTGCCCCTACCAGAGTCAGATGTGCTCCTAACATCTTTCTATAAGGTGGATCCCCAATTGTATCCCCCAGGAAATGGGTGCAAATCCTTGTGGGGGCCAGATGGGGATGCTGCAGAGACAACCAAGAAGGGTGAAGAATTTCCAGTTCAACAACCAGCAGTCCCCCAGAGACAGAGGCTTGCCTCGGAGCCCCGTATTTTTCTGGGGCTATTTCTGCTGCTCCTGAGGATGACTTCTTAAATACCCAAAATAAACCCACTTCTCAGTCAACTGTATTTAATAATAATCAGTATAAAACAGGCTGCACTTCCACCATACCTCATAACCATCCCTTAACCACTGCCATCACTGAGAAGATACAGTGGGGCAAAAAAGTATTTAGTCAGCCACCAATTGTGCAAGTTCTCCCACT